AAAAAAAATAAGAAAACCTAATAAAAACAATTGACCAATCACTTTTTTTCCCTTTCTAGAGGAATATATTATTCTCCCTCCCCATCTTTCTCCTCTATTCCTCTCTCCCCTCTCATCATTCTTCTCTTCTTTTTCCTCCAGATCATCTTATTCCCCTTTTCACTCCATCTCATTAATGAGGTTCTAAAAGCATCCCCATTACTTTAAGACTTTGAGTTCATAGAGTCTTTGAGTTCTCAGACTCGCCTTTAAGGCTTCCAACTTAATAAACAATCCTTTCCAATTGAAAATACCAATGGTCAATTACGTCTACTTAATATAATTTTATTTTGTTATTCTTTTATTTTAAGATGTGTAATTTTATATATAAAAATGTTTCACGTTCTCCTAAGGATCAACCAAAATGGAGCAATTATACATTTCACCTATGTCTTGTTATGTTATTTTAATTTGCTGTGCTTCTAGTTTCATTATATGTAATTTTTATTTTGTGTGTTTACTTAATTGACTTTAATAAACGCACTCACTTCATTTTATGTATGTTATGCATAATAATTTAATATAATTTTCTCCAATTTTACGTTACTAATTTTTTAAGGTTAATTATATTAATAATCAAAATTGGTAGAAAAATTAACGTATAGTACAATTTGGTAGCAACACCAAACACTTCAGAGGAAACCTACGTCTCTTCTCCCCAGGCCTCTGCACTTGGTCCTTGTGGAAGGCACGTAACTCTTATATTCATAACGCAGCTAAACCAACAGTGGAGGGTATTATTAAAACATGCCTCAAAACTCTCTAAGCTTGGGCATGGATAAACAGGAACAAAAAATGGATGGCTCATGATGACGACTTCAAAGGCATGGGATTAGATTCCTTTTGGCGAAATGGTCGTAGAATTTTATCCAAATCCTTTGTATAAGTTGGTTGTTTTCCTCTTGTATTACCCTTCGGGGCAACTTGTATCCTCTCTCTCCTTTTCCTTTAATAATATATATACATATATATATATATATATATATATATATATATATATATATATATATAAACTTATTAAAGAAAATAAAAAAAGCTACAAAGGTGGGGGTGGCCAAAAGAAACCCCAACATTACAGCCAAAATACAAAAAAGGAGAAAATGAGAAAAAAGCCAGCAACTACTGCCAAAGGAAGTTACATTATATACTACTACGAAGCAAAAAGAAAAAAAATCCAAAAGAAGAAAAACAGTAGTATCTGATGGTTCTGCAAAGCTGCCAAAGCATTGATGTTGAAACCCTCAAAGTCCCCTAATCTCACAAAATGCGCTGGGTGTGAAGACAACATAGAGAATGAAAATTATAACTCATAGTATACAGCAACAGGTCAGTTCTGTAAAGGCATGCTCTGTGCACCCAAAAAGATGCATATCTATAAAAGATAAGCAATATCTGTGATCTCCAAGAGAACCTGTAATCAAATCTAATACAATACAAAAGTTGGGATGGTAAAAATATGGATAAAATTGGAAGATGAAAATGAAGTCAGTTATGTTGATGAAGGTAAGCAAAATCAGTAGTTAGTAACTGCTAATCAAATTAGGACTTGACTAGGGTATGCTGCATCTTTGATGGTTGAACCAATAAGAATACTATGACCTGATCAAGAGTCCTTCAGAATTATAAGAATGAGGCAATAGTCTGTTTCTACTAGACTGAGCAGAATGGTAAATCCCAAGTCATCACTGAGCCAAAGCTGGATTCTAAGGATAATTTGCCTTCAATTCTGCTGCAACTTTCAAAATGGCAAGCCCCAAATGGTATTTGCTCCACTTCATCCAAAAGTGTCTCAAAAGCAACATAACCGAAGTATTTAGTTGCTAGAAGTCCAGCAACAGCAGCTCCGTGTTCATTAACCCGACTTTATCAAAAGTAAACTACTACATCATTTCCCAAACATTCCAACTGAAACACTCAAATGTTGAAATTAAAATCTGCTAGAGACACAATCATTCAACAGGAATAGTCCAAGTCATAAAAATCCTCATCCTCATTTCCCATATCACTAACCTGACTCTGTTTCTTTTTCTTCTTCAATTTCTTTTTCTGACTTTTGCTTAATGCCTTTTTGGATAGGCTCTTCTTTTTTAGTAGGACAACAGAGCTTGAAGAAGTCAATTACCTCCTCTTCATGGGATTGTTGTGGATCAAGCATTTCTTGTTCCTCTTCCCAGCCAATAGGTGTGATCCTCCTCCCTTCTGCTAGTATTTTAGCCTTACTTCTGGTAACAATTTGCGATGGGGAGAAGGTCTTTCGGCCCTTGAGTTCCTTGCGTAGATTAAAAGGTTGCTTGAAACATCTTGAAAGATCTATTTTCAATGGTTTAAGTTTAGTATCTATGAACACTAAATCCTCGCCCTCTGAATGGGTGTAAAGTATTGGCCCATCCCTCTCCTTTGCATGATCTTCCACTGCATTAGAACATAGAACCAGGCTTTGTTCATTAATCTTTGCAAAAGGATCTTCTTCCTCTAAGCACCCAGGATCTTGATTGAGAAGAGCAGCAAATGTGTTGTTTGAAAGTGGCAAAAAAGCAGGAGCATATGGAGATAACATCCTTCTTGGCAGTGGCGGAAACAATTCACGGTATGCTTCAGAAATGTTGTATTCAGGTTCTTCCTCTCCCTCGTAAATAACCATCTGCCTCTCTTCAAGGGCCGTTTCTGTCAAAGGAGCAGTAGTGAAACCTTCTGATCCTCCTTGGTCTATAAAATTATCCTTTGTGCTTGAATGGTTTGTTTTGTCATTCTTCTGGGTTTCATCATTCACCTTCGTTTCAGAATATTGTGTATCTTGAGTTGGTGTACCAAGTTCCAAGATAGGAGTTGGGGACATAGGATGATGTTCCAGGAATTCTGTGGGTGTAGCTAACAGGACATTGTCATCCACTGTTGGTACACTAGCTGCTGAAGTAGCTTTTGAATTAGAAGCTCTATAGATGAATGAAGAGAGTACTCTGATAAATAATTTTGGTCCATCTTTGTGTGAATCAAAAGGAATGATTAAAAATCTCCTTCCCTCTCTTCTTCTCTCTAAGATTTTGACATAATTTCCTCTTTTATTAGAACCCATGGTTAGCTCAATACTTCTATTTGTGTCTTTCATAAAAATCATCCAGCATCTCCTCTTGGAAAAAAGAGACAGTGATTCCAAGATCCATTTGACAGTATCCATATCAAACCACATTTGATAATTTCTAAATCCATAATCACAGATACAGACATTGTTGTTGTAGTATGAATGAAAAAGCTCAAAAACCTTAGTTTGTGTCTTGAACTTGAATCTGAGATTTTTGCTGCCTTTTGAATCTGTGATTTCGACTTCATACCTGTTGGATACTATTCTGGAATCACTTAAAACGTATGAATCTTTCTTGTCCTTTGTGTCTGAATCTCTGAATGGCCATCTTCTACTTTGAGTTGGAGCCTCCCTTTGTCGACGATGATAGATCTGCTTGATGTCGGATGATCGCAGGTAATGTCTTGAGTGAAACCCAAACTTGTTCTTATTATGAGTGACATAATTAAAATATGGGAGTTTATTTGGCCGGCGAGAGAGACCTCTTCGTCGGAATCTAGGAATTCCGTTATTGCCGCTCCTCCTCTCTAGAAACGCTGCCATTACATATATATATATATATATATATATATATATATATATATATATATATACATATATATATATACACACACACACATATATATATATATACTGATTGGACCGCGTGGACAGAACCCTCGAGGGAGATGTCGCGGAAGGCATGGCCGTGGTGCAATTTAAGTTTTATCTTTGCTTTATGTATTGGGTCTTGCGCCCACATTCAAAACTTTCTCTTCTTGCATTTTCTTCTCTTTGTACTTCACTTTCTCATTTAATAAAAATCTCTTTTTATTATATATATATATATATATATATATATATATATGACTCCAGTCAGATGACACCTTACGGTGAGATGACATGCTACGTTCAGATGACACAAAGCTCCCCACTGGACATTGCAAAGCTCACCAAGGACAACTACAAAGCTCACCAAACTGTAAGGCAAAGCTCACCATATTTTTTCAACACTTTAAATTTTTTTTGAAAAAAATAAAAGGAAGTGATGCTGACTGGACTTTGACCATTGACCGTTGACCATCACCGGCGACCCCCTGCCACTGCCGACCTCCGGCCGCCGGCGACCACCGCTGGCCACCGCCGCTGCCGGCTGCCGACGACCTCTGCTGCCGCCGTCGCCGGACTCCGGCAGCCACCGCCAGCTGCCGGCGACCACCTCCGGCGACCCCCGCCGACCACCACCGGCGACCTCCGCTGCCGCCGTCGCCGGACTCCAGCAGCCACCGCCGGCCGCCGACCTCCGCCACCACTGCCGACTACCGCCTGTCTCCGACGCCTCGCCGCCGCTGACCGGAGGTTGACCGGTCATGCAATTTTTTTTTAAATTAATTTTTTAATTTTCAAAATTAAAAAAAAGGTGAGTTTTGATGTTCAAAGAGGTGAGCTTTGCAGTGTAATGTGGTGAGCTTTGCGTCATCTCACTGAAGCATATCATCTTACCGTAATGTGTCATCTCACTGGAGTCAATCCCATATATTTATATATATATATATATATATATATATATAGAGAGAGAGAGAGAGAGAGAGAGAGAGAAAATTTGAGGGTCATAAACAACCTAGGAGAAATATTGCACAACCCAGTCTAAATGTTGTTTGTCAACACTATTGTAAGATAGGACACATAGCTCTCGTGTGTTTTGCTGATACAGGGATTTGAGACAATTTATAAATTTTTATGATTATGTTTATCTACCAGCCTCAAGGATCCAAAACTTATTATGTACCTAAAATACCCTCCTAGATATATTTGTAGATGTGTTTATCTACCTGTGTCAATGATCCAAAAGTTATTATGTACCTAAAATTAGGGGTCAAGCTGCGTATATCCAACCCCCCCCCCACCCAGCCATGAACGGGAGACTTTGACCACTGGAATAATGTTGTTGTTTTTGTTGTATGTAAACTGCAATGAAACAAACAAAGTGGGACAGAGTAAATTGTTTACTACTAGGATTCAAATTCAGGTAAGCAAAATTATCAATTGATTAAAATAAACAGCGCCATCTGATTTTAGCTTATTCTAAGAATCTGAATCCCGGAATAATCTGAAAAAATTGAAACCAAATGAGTTTTTACTATGCAAGTATGCAAGTGATAAATTTTTTTTGTTGATTGCATAATCTTTTTCACATTTCATGCAATGAGATTGTGTCGGCCAATAGGGAAAAAATCTTACCCAACCATGTTGCAGCTGAAACTAGACTGCAGAGCAGTATGAAGATAGAGATTGTTCAATACAATAGATGAATCTGATCCTCTCTTAAGCTGGAAAATATTAGAGGGAAGGAACAACATCATCATGACATCACACGATCCAAACATGAAAAATTGATTCCTTCTGCATTAATTCAATTAGTACCTCAATGACAATTCTCATTCTCGATCTATCGCTCTCATCTCGAATATCATTTATCCCTTCCAAACTCTGACATAAAAAAGTTAGGGAAATTAACAAATAACAATTGTAACATTGGATAAGCATATACAAATAAGTGATTGAGGAAAGTCGAGAAGTATCAGAGATTACTAAGACAATTAGCCGAACATCACAAAAGTGAAGAATTAAAATTCAGGAAATATGGTAACAAGATTATTGTATATTATTTAAAAAATAAATATACAAGAAAAATCAATTCTGATCCAACCAAAACCAGAAAATTAACCCAATAAGAACAGTGAATGAATCGATAAGGCAATGGCTCACTAATCAGCTTAATCAGATCAATAATCAAAACAGTCATGCCACCTATGGCTGAAACAATATTTTATAATGATAGTATATTAATTCATAAACAGACACATGACACTCGAGTTTTGAGGGAAAAAATGTATACATGATTATAATTTGAAATGAGAACAAAAAAAATTTAATTAAGTAAACATTGGATTCAATTCCTTTGTGTTAGATGGAAAACCAAATCTAGCAATTACATCATAAAATTAGATGACATTGTTGTTTACGTTTATAAATTGAAAAACCAAATTGATCCAACCATCCAAACTACAAGTAACCCGGTTTAACCCAATTTCGAACCAGTTCAATCGGTTCAAAACCACCTCCCCATTCCACCTATTTTAAGGGCTCAGCAGACCTGATCACTAGCCATTTCTAAGTCTGCATAATCTGAGGAATCAAACCAGTTTAAAATACCATACACTTTATGCAATTGGTTTTCCCTGATCACATTCTGATGCAGGAGAGGATCAAGACTAACGTGAACTCTTTGTTAAGGCCTTCATTTTTAAATTTGTGTCTTTGGGCCTTCGGCCTATCTTTTAGTTAGCCCATTTATTTTTATTCTTAGGCCCGTTTTGTCTTCCATCTTTTAGGGTTTCACTCCCTTCGTTTTTCAGCTATTTATAGCCCGACTTGTGGGCATATTTCAGGCAGACCATCATTATTCGAGAATATTTCAAACCTAGAGCGGAACTCTTCCCCTAGCGTTTCAATCTTTCCCTTTCTTTCGTTGTTCTTCTCGTTCTAGCCCTATGCCTTGATTTAATTCGGCGTCAGTTGGTATCAGAGCAGGTTCGACGAATAAAGGAAGATCTTCCTTCAACATCAATGGTGCGTGCACGAGGTCGCGGACGTGGGCAACCTATGGGTGGCGAACCCCCCCGACGAGAGCAGCGCCTTGACGACGTGGAGGTGATAACAGATCTACAGCGGCAGAACGAGATTATGCGGCAGCAAATCGCAGAACTCACGCAGCGCCTGGCGGTGCGAGATTTGGAGGATCATGAGGAGTCAGATCAGGGCTCCCAATCATCGTTTGAGAACCCGTATCATCGCGAACCTCGCAGACGTGATTTTCGCGTCCGTGATGACTATCGCGGAGGGTTAGGGTTTAAGGTGGAAATCCCTAGTTTTTCAGGAACCCTGCAGGCCGATGATTTCATTGACTGGCTGAATGAGGTGGATCGTATCTTCGAGTATAAGGACGTTCCAGATCGTGACAAAGTGAAGCTTGTGGCGATCAAACTCCATGGACGAGCCTCTGCATGGTGGGAACAGATGCGGCGAACTCGTGAGAAGAAGGGTAAGCCAAAGATCAATGATTGGGAGAAGATGAAGGGTAAGATGAGGGCACACTTTCTTCCCTTCGGATACACACAAACCCTATTTCAGCGACTCCATACGTTGAGGCAGGGAACAAGGTCCGTTGATGATTACACAGAAGAATTCTACCAGTTGATTGCCCGCAACGATCTATATCGGAGGAGCAGCTTGTGGCCCGATACATGGCAGGCTTGCGTCGGTCCTTGCAGGATGTTCTCAACCTCCATTCATTATGGACTGTTTTTGAGGCATACAAAAGGGCCCTTGCAGTTGAGAAGCAGCAGAACAGGAAGCCGGTGACCAACAACCGTCCGGCTCGACCCCAAGAGCCTCGACTGACCACACAGGGAGTCCAAGGGACGCAGGGAGCTTCGAGTAGTACGATTAAGTGCTATTGTTGTGGTGAACCTGGACATAGGGCGAATGGATGCAAGAAACCCGCTCTACAGAAGAGCAAGAGCCTGTTTGTGGAGGAGAACATCGTTGTTGACGATGATGAAGTTGAAGAGTTTGGAGGTCCAGCCTATGATGATTATGCAGAAGATGATGTTCTTTATGGGGATGGTCGAGAGAATTTGGTTGTGCGCAAGAGTCTTCTGGCCCCAAAGGATGATTCTAAAGATGATTGGTTGAGGACAAACATCTTCCACACAACCTGCACCATTGGAGGAAAAGTTTGCAAGATGATTGTGGATGGTGGTAGTTGCGACAACATTGTCTCTGACGAAGCTGTCCGGAAACTGCAGTTGAAGACAGAACGCCACCCCAAACCCTATAAGTTATCTTGGCTACACAAGGGTTCCGAGGTGACAGTTGACAAGAGATGCCTTGTTTCCTTCTCAATTGGGAATAAGTATCATGATAGTCACTGGTGTGATGTTGTGAAGATGGATGCATGTCACATTCTTTTGGGAAGACCTTGGCAGTATGATCGAAGCGTTGTACATGATGGACGAAAGAATACCTATTCTTTTGTCATGAAAGGCAAGAGGATAATATTAGCACCACGTCGAGAGGACCCCCCTCCACCCTCAACAGAAGGCCCTACTAATCTGCTATCTAGGTCCAAGTTCCTAAAGGAGGTTGAGCATGAAAAGGTGGTTTATGCATTGCTGCCTTGTGATGACCAAGCAGGTGATGAAGATAGTGACTTACCTGTGGAGGTGCAGCAACTTCTAGATGAGTTCTCACACTTAATTCCTGATGAACTACCTCCTGGTTTACCACCATTGAGGGACATCCAACATCAAATTGATTTAGTCCCAGGCTCTAACCTCCCAAATAGACCAGCATATCGTCTCAGTCCCAAAGAGGTAGAAGAATTGCAGCGACAAGTTGTAGAGTTGCTTGAAAGAGGCTATGTCAGGGAGAGCATGAGTCCATGTGCAGTTCCAACCTTGTTAGTGCCGAAGAAAGATGGTTCTTGGCGCATGTGTGTGGACAGCAGGGCCATCAACCGCATCACAGTGAAGTATAGATTTCCTATTCCCCGACTTGATGACATGCTAGATCAACTTTCCGGCTCTAAGATCTTTTCCAAAATTGACCTTAAGAGTGGGTACCATCAGATTCGAATCAAGCCTGGCGACGAATGGAAGACCGCGTTTAAGACGTAGCATGGGTTGTACGAGTGGATGGTGATGCCGTTTGGTATGTCCAACGCACCTAGTACGTTCATGCGGTTCATGCACCAGGTTTTAAGACCTTTTATGGGAAAGTTTGTTGTTGTTTACTTTGATGACATCCTTATCTATAGTCCATCTTGGGCTGCCCACTTTGAACATTTGCGTGCTGTTTTTGAGGTGCTAAAAGCGGAGACTTTATTCATCAATAGAAAGAAGTGTTTCTTCTTTACTACCTCCGTTCAGTTTCTGGGGTTTGTGGTTTCTGTTGATGGTGTGCATGCAGATCCCTCGAAGATTGAGGCCATTGTGCAGTGGCCTAGACCCAGAACATTGCATGACGTTCGTAGCTTTCATGGTCTGGCCTCTTTTTATCGCAGATTCATTAGGAACTTCAGCACTTTGATCGCGCCCATTACTGAGTGTCTCAAGGGACGTGACCTCCAGTGGACAGATGCCGCGGAGTCCAGCTTTGAGAAGGTGAAACAGAAGATGACGGAGGCTCCAGTATTAGCCCTCCTTGATTTTGACAAAGTTTTTGAGGTCAACTGTGATGCGTCTGGTGTTGGCATTGGAGGTGTGCTTAGTCAGGCTGGACGTCCAGTTGCCTTCTTCAGTGAAAAACTTTCTGGTTCCCAGAAGAATTACTCGACTTATGACCTCGAGTTCTACGCCATTGTTCAGTCACTCAAACATTGGCGTCATTATTTAATCCAAAAGAAGTTCATTCTTTTCACTGATCACGAGGCTTTGAAGTATATTAATGGGCAGCACAAACTCAATAGGCGTCATGCCAAGTGGGTGGCGTACTTACAGGAGTTCACCTTTGTTCTTAAACACCAATCAGGTAGTGTCACTCGCGTCGCTGATGCCTTGAGTCGACGAAATAATCTTCTCTCCACCATGAGCAGTAGAGTGACGGGATTTGAAGTGTTTGCGGACATGTACGAAGCTGATCCTTCATTTGGAACGATCTTCTTGGAAGTGACGTCGGGACACCGCCATGATTTCTTGGTGCACGATGGCTATCTTTTTCGAGGTCGGCAGCTGTGTGTCCCAGATTGTTCCTTACGACAGCAGATTATCAGTGAACTCCACAACGAAGGACATTTTGGTCGAGACAAGACTCTCGCTCTTGTGTCTGCTGATTTTTACTGGCCAAAGTTGAGAAGTGACGTGACCCATTTTGTGGATCGTTGCTATGTGTGCCAGCGATCTAAGGGAACTCTCACAAATGCAGGCCTTTATACTCCATTGCCTGTTCCAGAAGCCCCTTGGCTTGATGTTAGCATGGATTTTGTACTTGGATTACCTCGCACCCAAAGGGCGGCAGACTCCATCTTTGTTGTTGTTGACAGGTTTTCCAAGATGGCACACTTTATTCCCTGCAAGAAAACCATGGATGCAGGAAAACCATGGATGCTGTGCGGATTGCTCACCTATATTTAAAGGAGATTGTGAGGTTGCATGGCGTTCCTCGTTCTATCACCTCAGATCGTGACACAAAATTCATGAGCCAGTTCTGGAAGAGTTTATGGGAGAAGCTTGGCACCAATCTGAACTTTAGCAGTGCATATCATCCTCAGACTGATGGGCAGACGGAGGTGGTGAACCATAGCTTGGGAAATCTTCTACGTTGTTTGGCAGGATCTAAGCCAAAACAATGGGATTTGGCGCTTTCCCAAGCGGAGTTTGCCTACAACAGGTCAATAAACAGGACCACTGGATTGAGCCCATTTCAGATTGTCTTGGGTCAGAACCCATCCGGGGTGTTGGACTTGGCCCCAATTCCACGAGTGGGTCGCAGTCATCCTAGAGCCGAAGAGATGACAGAGAACCTGAGGAGCATACATGATCAGGTGAGACGTAAGATTGAAGAAAGCAACAACAAGTACAAGGCACGGGTGGACAAACATCGACGTCAAGTTCTGTTTGATGTTGGAGACTTTGTTTGGGCTGTGTTGACCAAGGATCGATTCCCTGTTGGCGAGTATGATAAACTCAAGGATCGGAAAATTGGACCCTGCGAGATAGTTCAGAGGATCAATGATAATGCTTACCGATTGCGGCTTCCCAGTCACTTGAAAACTTCTGATGTTTTCAATGTGAAGCACCTAACTCCTTGTTTTTTGGATTCTAAAGATGATGATGTGAACTCGAGGACGAGTTCTTTCCAACCCGGGGAGACTGATGCAGGAGAGGATCAAGACTAACGTGAACTCTTTGTTAAGGCCTTCATTTTTAAATTTGTGTCTTTGGGCCTTCGGCCTATCTTTTAGTTAGCCCATTTATTTTTATTCTTAGGCCCGTTTTGTCTTCCATCTTTTAGGGTTTCACTCCCTTCGTTTTTCAGCTATTTATAGCCCGGCTTGTGGGCATATTTCAGGCAGACCATCATTATTCGAGAATATTTCAAACCTAGAGCGGAACTCTTCCCCTAGCGTTTCAATCTTTCCCTTTCTTTCGTTGTTCTTCTCGTTCTAGCCCTACGCCTTGATTTAATTCGGCGTCACATTCCCTAGCTTAGCTAACACATGTGTATGTGTACGCATGAAAAATTAAGGACAAGCCCAAGGAAATAAAGAAATTGTTGAATGGAAGTGATAATGGAGAAAGAAATATGACATGTATTCACTAGTTAAAGTTACAATACAAATATACATTGTAGACATTTACACACACGTGTGTGTGTCTACAAACACGTTACATATAAACCACCTAACTACCATACATAATAAGCTACATTACGTGGTGAACCAGAAGTTGTTGATCGAGTTGGTTCCTTGAATGGAATTGGTTGAAGAAATGAATCGGAATTCAAAAAGATTATAGCCTTTTGTTGACTCTTGAAGAGGTGACTGCAGAGATGACTCCCTGGCTCTATTATACTAGGTGCAATGGAAAGGTCTTATAGTGTGATTTGGAGATGATGGGCTTGGATGAGATTCTGGTCATCGAATTCCACTAGAATTTTGAAGAGATGGAGTTGAGTTAGGTACATTTACTGTAACGTTTCTGGAATTTAATTGTAACTGATTGAACAATAAACTAAAGATGAATAAGATTTTACAAGGATTCGGACCAAATGAACTTGGTAATTGAATTTCAGTATATTGTTTTAGGAGATGGTCTCCTGTTAGGTACGATTGACTTTGTACGGTTGCAGGAACTTGATTCTTATTGAGATTACATTAAAGGTTGGGACGCCGGTTCTTCTTTGATTCCTGTGAAGGTGAAATTAAAGATATAATTGGGACACTGGGCGTTGATGTAGTGTTTCCATATGAGTGGATGAGGAATATGGTGATGTCTTGTGATGGTAATATTGTGGGACACATAATAATGTTGTGTATTTAGACAACAACTTTTGAGTCCTAGTTTTCAATAAACCACCAAACTAAGAACTTTCTAGTTCCCACAGAGCAATTTGTTCCTATGGAGTTGCACATATAGGCATTAATAAGTAAAAGCCGGTCATAAATCCTCGAACATTCCTTGAGGAATGTTCCCATGCTCAATCCTTCCATACTGAAGATGTTTGAACTATCAACCGTAGCAAAGAACTGCGGCCCAACATTGGGGTAAAACATCTTTGCTTTATTACATACTGAAACATGTCTTCGACTTTTGGCCTAGACAAAGGCATTCATTAGATGAAAAAGATTGCCACAAGAGGCTCCACAACAGAGCATCAACCCTTTCTTGAATAGGCCTTTCTTCATGTTTTCTTTTTCTGATTTCTTGGCCAAATGATCAGCAAAGCTTATGCCAATAACGATATTTGAGATGCATCTGACCAACAATTATAATTGTGAGAACCTAAGAGCTTTTGACATGTAATGATGGTATTTCCTAATGGATTTGGAGAGAAAACCTTTACTGCACGGACTAGAACTTGACTTGTTTTAATCTACAACAGGAC